CGGGACCGCGCAGCATCGGGTGGGCGGTGAGGGCGAAGGGGGGGGGGGGGGGCATGGCAGTGAGTCTGTATTTCAGGCCTGCTGTCATGTCATGCTGACGCATCACTGCCAAGAACTGTGACCTTTGGTTTGGGCTCCAAGCTCAGGGTGCATTAGTATTAGTGACAGCACAGACTCGTCATGCATGTACCAACCTACAGGGCGTGCTACAAACGCTTGTCAGACTGTTTGTTTGTGGACTGTTCAGACGAAGAAAAAAAAAAAAAAAGGATCATCAGGATGAGAGCAAAATGAGTTAAAAAAAATTAAAGATGACACATTAACAACAGGTTGGCCAATACTGCTGTCGTCTTTAGTCTCATATTTACGGCTACATGGCTAAAAGTGATGTTCAGTTAGACTCAGAGAAGTCATGTGATGTCAAAACTAGCAAAACAACATACATTTGGTCAAAACCCATTAATATGAGCATAAATATGAGTTTCAAACTTTAACCAAAAGTAAAAAAAAAAACATTTCAGGAAAAGAATATGTTTGAAGTTCTGCAGAGAGTAACGTCAACTTGGCAAAAGGAAAAGTTTGAACCAAATGGAGTTGTAATCACCTTAACTTGTCTGGACCCAACAATCTGAGACAAATTAGCTGAGCTCAAAGACCGGCTGATTCATTTCCTGTTAATAGAGCGGTCGAGCCAGCGCCGCGTCTGTGCCAGCGAAACGACCAGAGTCCAAACCCGTGATGAGTTTTGGTTCCAATTTTTAAATCACTTAAAGGAATGAAGCTCATTTCTTCATGACTCCTGCTAATTCTTTGCAGCGTCTTCAGCGTCTTCGCTGCCAACGTGAACAGATCCAACCCTGACTGAGTCGGTCACCTGACGTCCACTTCCTGTCAGTCAGTGGTAAAAACACACTCTAACCACAGAATGAGTGGAGCGTTAAAAAAATACAACATTTTGTTTTGTTAAAATTGACCAGTAAATAATTACTTTAAAAAAATATTTACTACATGTTTAGTAGTAGTACTGTTACTGTTAGGTACTGATCAGTACTGTTGTTTACAAAACATGTAAATTTGTTACATTTTTTTCTAATTAGAGCTCCTTTCTGTTAATTTCTTTATTGTTGATTATGTTAAAAAAAAAATCACAGAATTTGGTGGGGTGTCAAACCCCTGGCCCGGGGACCACTCCTGGTCCACAACACCCTCCCCCCAAAAAATCAGTTCTATATAAAAAAGAAGTTCCTGAGCTCAGGAATAAAACATATCTGACAAACTGAACTCTTCCAGTCACTTAGATTAAAATATTCATGGATCACATGACCATGTTAACTTAGAAAATGTCTCCAAGATTCATGTGATGCTCCAAAAATGAACATGGAAGTTCCTTAAAGTTACTAAACACTACAGACAGGAAACTCCAGGAGTTGGAGGTTGACAATACTACAAAAAAAAAAAAAAAAAAATACATTTAAAAACCGATTTAGTTTTAATATTCAAGATTCTCAACTGTGCCATGCTGGGATCAACAAAGTACAGCTAGCTCACAAGCAAGCTAGCCATCCAGCTAGCCATCCAGCTAGCTACCGTTCAGTTGGACCGATTAAGGGTGGACTGATTTTCATACCTGGGTTCAACAAACGCCCACATCTGTTCTCTCACTCCAATCCATAGTTTAATACTGTTTATATATTGAAGGTCTTTTTGTTGTTGTAGAATCCAAAGCTGAGAAAGTTGAGTGGGTGTTTGAAACCAAACACCAGGAGCAGACACTTAAAAAGTGCTCGAACAACAAAGTGCTTTTTGGAGAGGTCAAGCAAGGCATTTGTTAAAGGGCAGGAGGTGAGGGCAGAGCCTGACGACCATTTCTAGATTGTCAGAAGTTCATGAGTTTGAAGCTGTGCTCGTCTTTCATCTCCCCCTGATCTGATAAAACCAACCTTATTTTAACATCAGTTTTCACAATGATGTGCAGAAATTCAATTATACTGCACTTCCTTTAATTATGTTCCCGACACGGTGCTTGTCACAGCACTAACTGACTAAATGCTCCAAACGCTGCCGTTGTGACAATCCAGAAAGAGGGCGTGGTTTAGTACAAGTGCAGGTTAAACCTTTGTTTGTTTGTTTCTTCTGTCAGTGCGTGTGTCATGCACAGTGACAACATGATGATGAATGAACTGATGGACCTACCCATTTTTCATGGTCGGCATTCTAGCAACAAAAAATACAGATGGAGAGAAGGCGTTATTGGGTGGGGGGGGCAGGGGTTAGGGTCAATTACACAAATCTGACGCTAACAGTAACGGAGGTGAACACGGCTTTTCACTGCAAAGAGGAAGAGGAGGGTGATTTATCAGCCTGGCCACGGGGCAGTCTGTGCTGTAGCCAGAATCATGTTGTAGTGCCAAACAAGGCCAGCCAACACAGCACAAAAACCAATGTGCCGCCCACAGCCAACACAGCACAAAAACAAATGTGCCGCCCAGGTTCAGAACACTCACGGCTGGACTCTCCAGTGGAAAGAACCAGAGCTGTACACAAAAAAAGACACTCTCACAACTCTCTGTGCCAGCAGGACGGATGTCGTGCATTAGAGCACAGCGGTGGCACAGGACACCGATCCAGTTACTTTGCATTGGTTCTGTTCATCCTGTATCAGCGCCCACTAGTGGACCACAGAGTGACTTAAACAGGAACTGAGTGTTGACTGCTGAAGATTTGGACCAGTGAACAGGAGGTAGTTTTGTCCAGAGTTTTGTTCCTCTGTCATTTTGAGGGGTTCAACCACTGGTCTGTCTCAGCAGCTCAGCTGGAGGTCGGGGTTCAAAATAAGGGGCAGAAGCCCCTGGGGTGGCCTGTCATGTGACTTGAAGCCATTGTGATAAAACTGGCTCAGATTAACAAGCAGGATTTTTTTTCAAATGAGCTTTCATTTGGCCCATGTGGAGTCCATTCAGACCACTACTGGGCCACATCAGGCACCACACGGTCAGCTACACCAGATGTGGGCCACGAAGAAGTGGTCTTCAGTTGTCTCTAGATGGGACAACAGAAATAATATCTTTGTAGCACAGAAAAACAGATGTGGGCCACGAAGAAGTGGTCTTCTGATGTCCCAGAACAGTTGTCTCTAGGTGGGACACCAGAAATGACATCTTTGTAGCACAAAAAAAAAACTTAAATTGTCTCTTTTTGTTATTCATTTGATGTCTACAGACCATGAAGAAGGGAATGAACCATGGGTTCAACATGGGTTCTATGTTATGAAACACATCTCAGCACCACCTTCTCCTGGTCTCCTCTTTAAGGGATGCAGGTTCACAGGACTCCACCTGATCAAAGATCACTTACCTGCTCCTCAAAATCAAGTCTCGGGGGAAGAGGCTCAGGTTTAAACGTAAATCAAGATAGTTCAGTTCAGAAAAAAACAGGCTGAAGATGCAGCCAGATAAACAGTCGGAGCGGCGGCCGCCTCCTCCTTTATCTGAAGTCTCTGTTTCCTCTCAGGATACCTGCTCTGCCACATACACTGTTACTTCCAAACACTGCTGGTTCTGCTCCGAGCTGGATATGTATTGATTTTTTTACCACACTAACTCATTAAAGTGAAACATCTTTTTGTTCTCGTAGAGTTAAATGCCAGAGTTGTGAGTGGAACTGGAAATAAAAGCCTTTCATGTTTTATCGAGTGATTCGTACTTTTCCTCTTTCCTCAAGGAGGAGCCGTGACGTCCAGCATGACAAATTGGCAGCTGTCAGACGGACCCAGCAGGCAGCTAACACCTATCAGTGTCATATTTGAGACTGGATGTCTACAATGTTTTATGTCGTCAAAAAAAAACTCTCCAAATACCATTTCTCAGGTTTCCTGTAACGTCTGCTGCTCGGCTAATGAGAGGTTTCTTTTCAGTTTTATTTAGAGAAAACTATAAATATCCCCACGGCTTTAGGTTAAACCACAGAGCGGGAGGCAGCGCGGTACCTACCTGTTCTACAAAGTTCAAACATTTCGCCAGAGAGCTCATCTCGGCTCCTCCACTGTGGTGTGTGTGCAGTAAAGTTTAAAGGAGATGAAGAAGGAGGAGGAGGAGGAGGAAGGTACTCACCCCTTCGCTGCTCTGCCCAGTGTTAGCGAGCATCTCCTGCAGAGCTCGCACCGACAGGGACTGCTCCAACACAAAGTTACAGATGCACAGGTCTGGAGGAACATGCTGGAGGAGGAGGAGGAGAAGGAACGAGGAAGGTTAGCATGAAAACAACAGATCAAGAGCTGCAGCTGAACTGGATTTGTCTAGGTGTGAAATACGCTATGCAATTACTTTGACATGTCCTAGGTGGCACTGGTGAGTAACTTTACACCAGCGAGACCTCAGATTCTCACATATGTTTAAATCAGTTTCTTAATTTTTTAGAATTAGAATTTAAACTTTTCCACATGATAGAACAGTAATAGTTTCAGGTAATGATGCAATAAAGGAATGGATTGAAGTTCCAGTGTCAGTCCCCGACCTGAACGCCTCCACCTCCCCCCCCACGCCGCCGCCACCGCCGACGCAGTAACAACGGCCGTCCTTTGAACTCACGCAGTAAAGTGGGAAATCTGAGCTGCGGCTGATAATGAGGACGGAGCTGCTCCGTCACACAGGAACTCCACACACGCGTGGGAACCTTCAGCCCTGCTGGGTGTGTGCTGCAGGTCAGACCATTCTAATACGTCCTTAAGTTGTCTTCAGGTCCAGACAGGACGTCCAAACGGCTCATTTATTGGATTAGTCGAATGAAATCACCGCGTCACAGAATTTGCTCATTCACTTGTGGCTCTGAGGGAAGAGGAGATGACCTGCAGCCATCAACGTGACCTTCTGCTGTGATAATTCACCGCCCGCTCCAGACCTCGCTCCTCTTATGAATTATTCACCCACGATTTTCCAATTTTCTTTCAGTGTTGGACAAGATTAGGTTCAGGGACGTCCTCCCAGGTCTGGGACATAAAGAGCTGCAGCCTCACGTGTCTCCTTGAACTTTTCCCTCAAGTCAGTTTCTTCCTGCTCTGCAGATTTTGCGGCAATTAAATCGAGAGATTTTAAACTGCTCTTTTCAAGAAGCTCCTGCTCTGATTGGAGGAGGCCGTTCATTAACCTCTCACTGATTCACCATCAGAAGCCTGATGTTTTCACAAATTAGCAAAACCCATGGAGGAGAGGGGGCGGGGGGGGGGGGGGGGGTCCTGGATCCAGAGGTTTTATGGTCATAGAGCTTATAAAAAAATCCTCAAAAGTAACAATTGAACAGGGTCTGTTCCCAAACAGCCGTTGATTTAAAGGAACCCTGTTGTTTTAATGATGCTGTTAAAGGGAAAACACCGAGTTTCTGCAGCTCTTCAGAAGAAAATGGCCTTTTCTATGGATGTTTTACTGGTCCACGTTGCTGGTCACATGACCAGTGCTGAAACATGTACAGTATGTAGAGTAGAGTAGAGCCTGCTGGTCACTGTTAAATACGACTGAAATGACTGATCGATTGATTTATTGTCCAATGAAAGAGTTCAGAACTAAACATTGAACTGAGGTTGAAGTTATAGCACATCACATTAAAGTTGTATAAACGTTTTATTAAGACAAAATGGCCAAACTTAAAAAAAAAAAAAAAATCAGTCAGGCCTTTTCAGAAATCTGTGCCTCGTGGTGTAAACTGCGTTTCTGTCTCAGTCTCAGTTTAAATGATTAAACCATCTTCCTGTCGTACGTCAGACGTAGAATAATGTAAATATTGTGCGTCTCCTCTGTGATTGGACACGACGGCTCTGTGTTTAACTCTGTGTCCTAGTCCTGTGTACCTAAAGACGTGATGTGGAACCGCGCTTCGTCTGAGTCTGGTGCCGGCACCTGAGCTCCTGCAGCAGACGACAGTTCTAACCCGGTGCCAAACCACAGCTGTCATCGTCCACACCGGCTCCACATTTCACGCCCGGAGAAGCACCAGCACCGTCACCGTCACTGTCACCGCCACCAAGGTGAGAGCTCTGTGACGGGCCATCTGTGGAGCTCGGCAGGTGTTGCCCTCCACCGAACATCCCTCTCAGGTGGACGAGCAAAAACATCTCCCGCCGTCCGTCTGATTTCATTTACCGACCTTTTGCCCCGAGGCCCAGTTAAATCGGGCTTTACACTGTACGCACAGCTCATAAAGACATCCGAACCAGGCGCAGGAGTGATTTACAGCACTGACCATGTGATTATCTTTCCGACACCTCCGGTGAGTGTGAAATGCAAGCATGTTATCAGTATGCATGTGCTGCAGCATTGTCTGCACCACAGGCATCTGCAGCCGTGACCTCCTCAATCAAACGCCTCCGCAGTGTCTGTGACCGACGATGCACACAACACACACACACACACTGACGCAGATTCACATTCATTTATTCACAATGAAAGGTTCTGCTCCTCCAATCAGACGACTCGACTGAAGCTCCAGTACAGAGACGTAGTCGGCCATGTTTCTTTTTCAGCGTCTGTGGGGGCGCGAGTGGAAGGGCTTTTGGAGGGGCGTAAACCAGGTTCAAAGGTTAAATATCCAAGTCCAGTGCAGGTGATGTTTGTCTCATTAAGAACCACCAGCCTGGCCACCATTTAACTACAGAACCACGGGTTTAGTCAAGGACAAATTTATATGGAAGACAAGCAGCAACGTATGAAGTTTTACTGCTACTAGTTTAAAGATTTGTGTTTTCAATCTATTACTATTACTATTAGTTTCCCCTCGTAGCACTAGAGGGAGCCCAAGTACCATCACAGGCCTGTGTACCTTAGTTTAAGAACCATTTTCCAAGTCGACCTAAATGGAGTGTTTTTTTAAATTTTATTTATTATTATTTCAGCACATTCAAATGGTAAAACCTGGTTTTTCTCTGTCTACAGAAAACAAACCGTCACGGACGGTTGGTGAGAGAGCAGACAATTACACCGGTGTCATCGACTTCACTTCTGTTCCACATCACACCGTTTGATCCACCACTGGATCCACAACCAATCTTTGGAGAGCACCGGTGCAGAAAGAAGTCCAATCCCACCAACTGACCCCATAAATCTGGTCTGTTTTATGTGTTTGGGTCCTGGCCAAACTGGATCAACACCCCCACATGTGACCCTGTATCACTGCAAGTGGGAGTCAGCCATATTTTGCACCTGAAGCTGAAGTTTTTGTTTCGTCGTTGTTTTGAACAAGCGGCTCAAATGGACGCGCGTGGACAGACGGGGTAAAACAGACGGGTCTGAGTGACAGGACTCTAAAATGTCTATATTTAGAAGGTGTTTATCTGTTAAAGTTTGATATGATGTGTTTTTTTTTCCTCCTCACCTTAGCTTCGGAAGTAGATTCCAGGTAACAGATACGGTTTCCCAGTCCCTCTGCGGCCAGGCAGAACTTGTGATGCTCCTTCTGGAAAGTGGCCACGCTTTGAAGCACCACCTCATCGTCCTGTCAGAGGAACAAGGGCAAAATAAATAAAGATATTCTGTTGGGGATACGCCAGAAAAATGTCCA